CCACAGGGCGGCGAAGTACGATTCTCTTGTCATGTGCCCCGAGAGTGCAGAGAAAACAGAAAAGTGACACAATCAAATGCATTAAGTTCAGGTTGTCATTCGCCATTTCTGTGCCGAGCCTCCTTTCCTATACATTCTAATACACGTCTGCTTCTCTTTCATCAATTTTGTCGCAGTCAAGCCTCTTGTAACTATCTTATATGGACTGTTGGTGCTATCTGACTTGCCAGCTAGGACACACAAATCAGACAAAAACCCCGATGCCAGAGACAAGAGACAAGCTCGACATTCTATGCCACCCGATGCCGCTTGTCCCTAGGAAGCAAGCCATTAGTAAAGGGAAGAAATACTGCTCACAACGACCACATTGTTCTAGCTACTCGACTGAAGCAGCAAATTTAGTACGTCCTTGATTGTAGACATAGTTACTCAATACAAGGAAGCGACCTCCATCGGGTAACCAGTAGAGTCGATTCATTGGCCGTTGAGCACATTAGCCAAAGCTCTGTGCGGCCGTGAAAATGGCGTCCTTGATTGGATTATGGCCAAACTCTCCAATTGTACTCTCAAAAACCAATTACCTTTGCTCTCAATGAATTCCACTACTTGATTGACAAGAAACATATGAGAATTTTACAGAGAACCATGCGAAGATTTTGTGAAATCCATTTGGATTGCTGGTCGCCAAATAAACAATCACTGTGAGAAAGCAGAATGGTCGCTGACAGACCTTGGATACTGTATAACTTTTTCTCTATGGAACTTGTCAATCTCATACTCTACACGCATAGACGTGGTTAGTCGTTCCGATGGTGAGGGTGCAGCTGATTTTGCTGGATTTTACGTTGGATAGCTTCTTCAAGGCATACTGTACACTGGCCTCCGAGAACGGTCCCTTCCGTGTGCTATGTGGATGGATCCGTAGCTGCAACAGCGGACCACTTTCCTCCGCTCAAAAATGCACGGGAACAGGGCTGGAGGGTAATGATACCCAGGGGTCGTCTCCAAACTCCTCCCACGCTATCCTCACAGTGTAGCATTTGTATCGATGTCAAGATCCCAAAAAATCAGAAACTGAAACACTCACTCAGTGATAGAGAGGAATCAGAAGTGAGAGGGTGCGGACAAGTAGCGCGCTTGACTATGATTAGGCGTGCGGCTGGCCGCGCGGTAGCGCGGTTGGAGTGTGGAGGTGCCCTTGGGTATCACTACTTTCCAGCCCTGCTCCCGTTTTGACCGAAGAAATGTGGCTCGCTGCTGCAGCTGCGGGCCCACTCACCTCACGCTCTGAACTTAGGAGCTCGGGATAGCTGGGAACTAGCGTAGCAGCATCAAAGCATGGGATCTCCGCCCATTTTGACCTACGACCGACCTAGGCGATGGTCTGAGTACATGATAAATATTAGGTTGTTCGAAAAGTCCTGCGACACTTTGATTGAATTGTTCTAGAAAAAGACCAAAAATCATTTTGGATGTTTTTATCCCTGATTAGTGGAGTGTGTCCCCTGGGGTTTCTGCACATGGGATATATATTCATAGATTTGCTGGACCAGTTTCAAAGCTTAAAAGTCCCCGCAGCAGTACGAGTAGCTTTTCGAGCCTATCCATATTAGTCTTGAGGAAGGAGATCGCTTGCCATGAAAGAGGGTAGCTGTTGCATCAGCGCTTCCAGGCTGGACTTATTTAACTCGTAGTTAGGCAATGTGTAGGTCGCCCACCAGCACAGAATGACGACCCTTTACTCAAGCTTCTTGAGCCGCAGCCGAAGGTAACCGACCCAGTAAGTTGGCAACCTCTCTAGGGCTCCACCTGCCTGCACAACTTCCCGTGCTCTTCGCCTCAAAGTTATCGGAAAAATTCTATTGAACCGGATGCCTCATGAGTTGGACCCGTCTGACAAGTCATACCGAATGACCGCATGTGGGAATCAGGCCACGTCAAAAAATCATGAATTTTGATCAGAGAATGCGACCGTACCCAGGTTATTCAGCAAAGTTAGCGGCCTCTAATTATCACCTCTTTTGGTCCCTATATGCAAGTCCTTGAGAGAGGGCAAAAGCAGCCGAAAAATCGACCTTCGGAACTGCGAAGAGATGAAGTTCCACTCTTCTTTTTATCACAGTTGCCGTAGTTCTATGAGAATGGAAATGAGAAGCTGTGCAAAAGAAGGGCACTAGTCCTAGTCATCAACTATGGTTACCTTGTGGATTGGAGATGTCTTTGGGTGACAAAAATTTCAGTGCGAAAAATTTGGTCCAAAGTGTCGCAGGACTTTTCGAACAACGATAAACACCAGGATTCACGGAGGAGAGTGTAGAGTTTAATAAATGAGTCAGTTGATTCCCTTATGCTGAAGAGCTTTTGGCGTTGGTGTATTATCTTATTCCTCTCTTCTTGTGCCTCCAAATAATCATAAATTCATCTAGAATCCGTTATTTTTCAAATGCATCCAAAAAGCCGAATCATCTCTCCCAAGTCAAATGGATGGCTGGCACCTCGTAGAAAAACCACAAAACTCTCAGTTCACCCAAGAAAGGTGATTCTTTGGTTACATCACGTTTAAGAGCCGAAACGAAGGCTCTTTTCTGCTCAATATTCAGAATATGCTTCTCGAATCCGGTAATTGGGGTGAATGTTCAAGAGGAAACGGATCTATGGTAACTTACGAAAGGGCGAGTTGCGAGCAAGATTGTATAGTCGAGCAGCTCACGAGACGGTAATCGTTTATATGCAACATTATTCGATGAAAGAATGTTTTCCATCTATACGTTACTATCTAGAGATAGACTGCACATTCACCCCCGCGGATCCTAGTGCCTGCCATGCGGAAGTGAATAGGTCCGCAGCTGCAGTAGCTACCACTTTTTCCACACAAACGTGCATGAAAAGGGGGATGGAGGCTAGCACGTGGGGCTGTTTCCACTCCGCCCACGCTGCTGCATGGCCAGTCACACGCCCAACCATGGCTAACTTCTGCTTGTTCTCTAGCGCTGAAAGTGTTTGCAGCGAAATTTTGTTACCTACGCGAATGTTGCACCTTAAAAGCAATTCCCGCGACCACAGTTCAAAAATAGAATTGCCGTGTTTTTGTTGACTTATTGAGGAGGAACAACGAAAGCGCTCCGGAATAAGAACCTCTATTGCAATTGATCATGATCACCGGACGAGTAAGGTGGTCAAGATCAATTGTGGATTGCGAAAGGCGGCGATACACTGATAAGAGACGAGAGAGGCCAGAAAACGACGGGCGAGAGAGCGCAATGGCAGTCTCACAACGACACGGTCACTGGAGGCCGGCATGGGCCTATCGGGCGCAAATGGGCCTAAAACCTGAGCGCGCCCTGCGTTTTGCTTGCTGTTTTTCAACTTTTGAAAGCAGCATAGCCTCTGACGTTGCCTGCTTGACCATCGTGCACGGTTATGAGAACCTAGCCTTAGTTTATCGCGTGCCTTTAATGATAGCGCAGGCGGAGTCCGAAACGCCAACAGGGCGTCGCCACCCTGCGTGCGCTCTCAAGCGACAAATTTTGCACCATGGACAGCTGGTAACCCGTCCTTCTCGCACATGGCAGGAACCGTTCCCGGAAACAAGTGCACAATTTGCCTCTGAAGTGACAGTTTCATCGTATGGGCGAGGCAGAAAACCACAACGCTTTCTTAACTGGAGCACCCCTCTTTAAACCCCAGGGGAGGAGGAGTGCACCAATGAGTAATGCACGATAATCCTCTGGCTCCGCCCACTCAATCAATCAATGTGGATTGTTTCTTTGATAGTACTAAGTGCTAACTTATGTCAGATGCGGATGTGCCCCGTTTTTTGACGAGAAATCGTACATAAGATCATGTGGTCTTGTGGAGCTCTACAGATGTAGTCGTCAAGGTAAGAGTGTTTTCGAGCGCGGTGTTTTATTGCTCGGGAATTCTTCTGTACCATCCAACGATTCTCATTCCAGAAAGGTCATGGAAGAAATGTGAGTGCCCCATCGAGTGTGACAGAATGGATTATTCCAGAACAAAAATCACCTACCTCAACAAAAAGCAAACGTGGGTCGTTGGCGCTCAAGCACTCTCGATGGGTTGATTCACAGGTGACAAAAGACTCACGATTGGTGGCCACCTGCGACAACCAATCGGAGGCGCTTCCCAAATGCACTGCTATCACAACCCATAATCTGATTCGGCTTTCTTTCTTAATAATTGTTTTGATTGAGGTTTAGTAACTACTCGACGATTGATATTTCTATACGATCCCGTCGCATACAAACAGATGAACAGATGAAAAGAATCAAAGCGGTTGATCTTCTTAGTGAGTTTTCTTTAACTTGTATTCGGATCTCATAAGTAATAGAAAGCAGTTAGTTCATTTGGGCCCGAAATTTACAGCAAGGCTGTGTGAGAATGCCCGATGGGTCTTCCAGCGAGTATAGAGTAAACCGCAAATTCTAGGCTACGTCGCTGGCAGCATGGGTTTGTTCCTTGGCATGAGCTGCGTGACTCTTCTTGAGGTTTTCATATACTTGTTCAAAAGCGTCTGGGGAGTATTCAATGATCAGGTGAGTTCTACCCATGATCGTGCAGTATTACTGGCGTCGTTCCGTGGTTGTACAGAGCCGCAACTCTGCGGATGAAGCACATCATAAATGTGGGTGTCCATCTGGTCGCACGGTGCGAGCATCGGGTTGACTTCACTTAATTACTGAGTGTGCCACGTTCTCCGCACAGCAGTGCACGAGAACGGGGTTGGAGGGTAGTGATATCCGGGTGCTGCCTTCATACCCCGCCCATGCTATCCTAATATGCAAATATGCAACCCTTGCGTCTATAGCACTAGAACTGAAAGGACTCAGAAAGGTAGCGCGTTTAGCTATGGTGTGACTGCGTGTGAATTGCCGTATGGGAGCGCGGACGGAGTCTGGAGGACGACGCTGTTGTGTCGCTTATCTTCGTTCCTGTGCACTTTTGACCGGAGAAAGTGACACGCCACTGCAGATACAGACCCACTGACGTCACGCATGGCAAGGACCAGAATACACGGAAATGAACGTAGAGCTTGCCTTCAAAAGACACAAAGGGCACCCTGAACCAAACGATTTACACC